CGCATCAGACGAGCTCTTGCCAAGGATGCCTCGGACCTCATCCGACCATGCCACTCTTGGCATGCAGCAACTACTTCGTAACATGAGCAGTGCTCAGTGGGTTACGTGCCACTCCACGAGCATTCCAAGCGCCTCGCCCTTGATGCATCGGCCCTTGGCCGACCATGCCTTGCTTGTCTTGCAGCGACATCCCCAATACTTGAGCAGCGCTCACCACCCTACGTTTAGCCCTTGAGCCACGCTCTAGACTCTTGTCCAAAATACCTTGGTGTTTGACAAGATTTTAAAGTGAGAAGATATTTCCTGAGAGTACAACTCGAATACTCCGATATCGAGCACATTGACCGTTCCGGTCTAGTGCCCGCGCCAAGAGCGCTTCTGCTTCCTAGCAGAGGTGAGTTCATGATTCACCAAAGCTCCACCAGGAGACGTGCGCGTAGCATCCAAGGTCTCTGACTTCTAATCAATCCATGGTTCATGTTGTTTTAACCATGCCATATCAAGGATAAGGTCATACCTAGCATCCAAGTCTAAGCTTAAGCAGCGTTCCACGTAACCAAAGTCAAGGAACTTGACACCGAAGTCTACAGAGACCGTTGGCACAGTGATTCCCTTGTCGCAAAGCAAACAGTGACGGTGTCACCCAACCGCTCTTCCAGCGCATCAGCATAAACGTGACTTTCTTGGATTGTGCAGCGCTGAGTTAATTGCCCGACGTCTCGAAATCAAAAAGAATTTTCCATGGCTCTTAAAGCCCTTCATGGTCACGTTTACGACCAGCAAGATCGGCCTACACCCACGGTCCTTGTCAAGAGCACGTAGCTCTCCGGGGCTCGGCTCTGCTGCCCTCCCCTTTTTTGAGGCTAAACAGGACTAGAAGAACGCTCCGTGCCTACTGGGTGCCCACGTTTCCCTGCAATAAACCAAAATGGTTAGAAGCGGGACGTCGATTCGACGAACCTTTACGCGCCATGCACTAGGGACAACCCATTCGAAGGTGGCGGGTGTCTCCACAGACAATTTACCATCGGGTGTGTAGACGCTGCTCGTCAGCTCGGCAGCTCGGAGCCTCCCTCTTCCTCTTCAGCATAGCTTCATTTGCTTAGGCCCACTCGACGATCTTTGCCGACTTATAGTTGATTTCGGTTTTCAATGTCATGTTCACCGCTTCTTCAAAAGAAGATGGATGCACACGGAAGCCTTCCATTCTGGCCACGCCAGCGCAGAGGCCCTACATAATAACGGTCACCGCGACCGCCTCGGGAGAGGATCTGCTGCCATTCCGGCAATGAGATGGAACTTGGACAAATTCCACCAATTCTTTTCTGCCCTGTCGAGCTGCAAGGAAACGCGATCCCCCGATATGCCTGATTAGGCGGCGAGAACACTCGCAGAAGTTGACGCTTCGGCTCCCACCAAGCGAAGAACGTAGCTTCGAACGAAGCACCACACGTTATTGCCCATTCTTGCGCTCGCCATCCTAGCGCGCTATGCTCGATCTAGAGCACGGTAGATGCCATAGCCGTCTTATCCTGAGCAGGAAATCTTCTCCATCCTTACCCTAGAAGTTCTTAGCGCTCACCATGAGCGGCCTGGGTTGGAAGGAATCATCCGTCGTTGACGGTGGCGAAACAGACTATTGCGTGGGTGCTCTAACAGAGCATTTTTATCATTTGAAAACGTCTCTAGGCGCGCGCTTATGGCCTCAGAAACTTGCGCACCGAGGTGCTCCGCACTCTCAGGGCCCAGCAGGGACATTAGCTTATTAAGCCTGTCCTGCATGCCCTGGGGCAAATAAAAAGGTTCCTCAATCCACAGAGGATCAGTCGTAACGGCCCAGGCGTAGATTTATTAAGAGTGCTGCCTAGCGCAACGGGGATTAAATAGCTTTTTGTTATGAGGAAGCTAAGTTAAGATCACTGACCTTTCTTTCTTTCCAAGAATCATTACAAGTGTAGCGGATTGCAATCCGCTACCTCCAAGTATTAAAGCCTCAACCAAGGTAAAAAAACATTTCTATTCAAAAGCAAAACTTTATTCACTGTTTTAGTTGCGGTAGACCCGCCAATATTTAAAACCTACGTTTTCCTAATAAATACAGCAATATCTCATTACTATATCAAAACCTAATTAAACTGATAATACGCATTACCACTGGTAATACTGCCTTGTGGTGGCTTCTTGGTACGTTGTAGCCACAGCACTGTGTGATCACACAAAATTGTGTTATACACACCTATGTTTGGTCGCACAATCTTGTGCGACCCTCTCTTTCATACAAGGGTACGTTTAACCCCGTTACAACCACTGTCCGACAGCCACTTTTCTGCATTAAATTCTGCTCATATTCGCAGTTTCCTCGTGAGAACTTTACTCATTAAGCGCACGTATTAAACTTCATGTGATTATCTTCAGCTCCCTGCATTTTTGCTATAGAAATTTATCCTCAAATAAACATTAAAAATATGAAATTATATCAATCGCTTCAACAGCATATAGCTAGACCTTTGTCACGATCTGAGATAACAAACGCTGGTGGTGCTAGGAGGTTTTATAGTGAAAAGCACAAAAAGAACGACCAGTAATCATGATTTTTAATCGATACTACTGCCACACCAACAATTTGAATCTCCTTATATCCATTGCAAAAGCAAGTCATCAAATGTTTTGCACCAATGTCGTTGCCAAATATGTCCCATCCAGTGTCAGAGCAGGTGATGCACAATTTTGAAATGTTTGCATGCCTTCTCTGTACCTTTCTGCCATTTTCACAAATAATCTATTTGTGTCCATTGACTTTTCGAGCTTCATTGTAGGATGCGATGTTTGCGTATTGTTGCAAATCATTACCATAGAACACGTACTTCAATAACTTGCAGGCATTGACGCAATTTATATAATCGGAACGTAAACCTTAATTGCACTACAAAAGAACAATCCTCAACAGACCGAAGAGCCTTGTATGCACGTGTATCCTACCGATTAAAATAGGACTCCAAACTAGTCTCATCTTGATCTTCAATGTCTGTATGAGCTGCGGACATGCTGCTTTTGAGAGTTGAAAAATTGAACAATGATAGCCATCGCAATCTCATAATCTTGTTTCTCTCAGCAAAAACTGCGAGTTAAGACTTTTCAGCTGTTGAGAATTCTACATTCTTCTATACTGGACCATCAATGAAGCTGTTCTCCATTTGAGCGTAGAGAACCCACTATATTGTTATTGTTTCTATTGGTTCAGATTATTAAAATTTGTTGAGTTAGTTTGTAAACTTCATCAAATGATACTGAATTTTACGAGTACTTTCCAATACTGAATTTTACCGAGAATTTTTAATGGAGTATTCCTTATAGTATAGTTTGACATTGGAAGATATTTTAATAAAAGTTTAGAAAAACAGTTTTTTTCATATTCCCTTAAATGCATTTCAAGAAAATTTAGATATTAGGGAGTATTAATTTCTACTCTGTAAGCGATAGACTGTATATGACTAGTATGATATTCACTTTATCTTGCCGCTCAAGAATAAAATGAATATTATCAAGTATCAGGATGCAAACCTAGTGTTCAGCTTATATTTAACAAAATACTGCTGGTAGTTTTTTTTTCTATTTTTAGTCATTTTTCGGATCCCTGACTGGATATTGAAATATTTGGCTGAGATGTGGATGACCTTGGAAGACCTCAGCATTGTCCTGTGAGACTAAAGTAGACATGACAGTACGTTTGTGTTAACAAGTGCTGTAACGTTAGTTGCGCTAGATGACTATGAAGTACTTGAATTTTGATCTGGACTAAAAAGCCTTCTTCTCTCGACCGAAAACATTGCGATAGAACAAAAAACATCTACATCAATAGCTCGTTATCATAAATACAGAACTTACCACTAAACGGAAATGATGCTTTACGTCGTGACAGATTTGGATTTTTTACTAGCGGGAGCGAGCAGAATGGCGAGTGAACCGATGAGGACAGATATGGACGGGAAAAAAATTGGCCGGATTGACGAGTAGTGCATAGATATAAGAGCCACGCAGTCTGAAAGCTGAAATAAATTGGAAATTTATTTTAGATAAAGTTCTGGTGTTAAGTGCACCAAAATACCCTATTTTTACGGGAGATTAGGGAATGACCGGATCCGTCCAAAAAGCAATGTCCTGACTTTGTATGGACTTAGATTTTACGTCATGATAGAAGGCTGTTGACACCTCGAGCATCACTTAAAGTTTTAAAAAATCAGATGTCTCACTTTCCAAAGTTGAGCACTCAACAAAGATGAACATGTCTTTTTCTATGAGAGCTCCATATCATAATACACGGAAGGAACTCTTTACCTGCTGATTGTTACTATCTTATTCGTCAAGGCAGAAACGACTGTCGCTACCGCTAGTAGCGCCACCATCAGCCAAGCTGCGAGATCCGTAAGACGCGTCTTTTCACTCCAACTACGCCGGTGTTACCAGAAGAGAATGTCGCTACCACTACAAGTTTCATCATCAGCAGAGCCGCGAGAGCAATGAGGAGCGTCAACTCATTCCTCATCCGCCGTTGTTACCAGCAGAAGGTAGTTGGCTACTTTTCTTGATGATGACGCAAGTAAATATTAAAAAGCACACACCTGCTAATCATGATGCTAAAGAGTGGATATATCTTACACAAGCAGCAGCCACTACGTGACAGCTACTTATCAGGCTGAAGGTCACTGGAGGAGCTTTGATGGATAGAGTTAAACACACGAGTGAGTATAAAGCTAATTATATCCTGTGTTATGATCGGATGGGTTCTTCTTCAGTGCAGCTTTTCGTGGTGGCGGTCAAGTTAAAACAAGTGGTGGAAGACCATCTGTAATTTCTCAAGGTAAATTAACTAAAGGAGAACCGACACAAATCTCAATGATCAGTCGCATTGGAGGTAATGAAGTTACTGTTGAGGCTTTTAATGCATGATTTCTGACCTTAAGGAGAGAAGCACTACTCAATACTGAGTATGTTAGATGAGAATGGTGCTTTTTTGCCCCCGGTCCTTTGCATTTGCTCGAGAAATATTGCTTCCAGCTGCTAGCTGTTGTTTGCCGACTCAAATAATATTCTGTGGTACTTCTGGCTGTCGTTGTGGCTGCTGAGCTGCGGGTTGACGGACAGATCTCGTGGTTGCTGCTCTGGCGCCGCTCACTAATAATTTTGCTTTGTTGTTTGCTACTGCTTCTTCAGCTTGTTGATCTCTTGACAAATCGATTTTCTAACAGAAGGTTTAAGCGATTCAAGTATCTTTGACGGAGAACATACGACTTAGTCCTTTCTTCGCTAAATTTTCCCGTTGCCCAAGCAAGAGGAGCTCACTGATCTCTTTCTTGAAGGCACATATATACTTATGTAAGGGGCGCTGTCAACAAATAGCCCTCAGACACAACACATACACTTGTGCGACGAGGAAGCTATTTCCGTCGCGGAGGAAACAAGAACATTCCCGACTTGGGGGAAAGAAGAATGACCTAAGCTCTTCAAGGCAAATTTGCAACTGAGTTAAAAATGAGTTATGGTTTTATCTACATGCACCCCCTCAAAATGTTCCTAGATATCTTATTATTAAAACGTTGCTTTTATGATTCATAAATCAAGGGTGTACCGAGTTTGAACCTCAGCATCAACTAATATAAGATCTTTGGTGTACGGAGCTTGAGCTTAAACTTTTGTGGAAAGAATTCAGTAGAATGAATTGACTTACGCCACCCAATTCTAAAGACAAAGACACGTCGGTCTCGTCACCAGTACAGATCCCCAAGTAGGAACTAGCATTCGGTATCACACCGAATATTTGTGGTTTGCGACTTCATATAAAGAATTAACTTATGCAATTGGAATTACATTTTATAATCCTCTCGGGTAGGCTCCCACAATGCAGAAGGTACACGAATGTAACCTCCTTTAATTTAAAAGTGCTCTTGTTCTTTTGCAGCTTTTTTGAGCAGCTTACTTTTCGATCAACAATGAAGCGATCAAGTAAACAAGCCAACATGAAAGCGCGTTCTTCAGCTGAACGGCAAGAAAGGTTATAAAACGCTTTTATGTAGACAAATGGTTCTACATGGAGCTCTTCTTTTGTTTATGTCGGATCAACAATCGGGATGATCCGATTCAGCCCATCGCAGCTAAGCTTGATTCCTAGCGGATATTTGTTTGCCCTGAGAGCGAGAACAAAATGGAGCGTCTGCATCGCCGAGTTGGCGATGGCAGGACCTATAATCACCACCGAGCACAAGCAAGCTTTGGCCGTCGTAGTGTTTCCTCTATCAACTATACAAGCGATTTTCGGAGCTGCGGACCACGACGGGGACATCTGACTTTAAGGCTTAACGAAGTTTCCACGTATCCGAGTTTGATGAATAGCCGCACCACCTAATTCTGCAATGTTCTGTTTCTATCGACTTGTCATAACGTCTAGAGGTCTCGTTAAGTCAAACTTCGCTTTGAAATCTGTGACAGCATTTAGGTATGCTGTGCTATAGCCATAATTCACACCCACTAAAGGTAAAGACCTCACCCATTATACTCTAGGATGAATATTATGTTTCACATAAAATGGAAAATGACCTGCCGAGGCATGCGTAGAGTTGTTCAACGCAACTTCCACACGAACTCGATTTGCACGCTCTGTTTGACCGTCTGTGCCGTTGTTGACATGGACAATTTGGCGCCCACTGGTCCAAACGATGCACGCCCTATTTTCAACGTAAAACGGGTGTCACGGTCAGACACAATCTCAACAGGAGGGCCATGCAGACTACAAAGACCTTAGCTGTCTAAACGGCAGAGATCTTGTCCAAAACAGGCGCAAGATAAAACATAGTGCTGAATCGGTCCGCTATTACAAGGATGCCACTGTGTTTATGTGTGTCACGTGGAGGTTCCATTTTGACTTCCATCATCACAGAACATTAGTTGTCAGTTGGCCTTGCCAACGACCGAAGTGGGGTCTACGTGGAGTCCGATGGTTTCACTCTCTGACAAATCTCACAAGTCCTCACATACTTGCGCACCAACTTATACATGTGTGACCAATAGGAATTATAGGAAAGATTAAGAAATGTTTTCACACATCCAAGATGGCCACCCGAAGGGCTGTCATGGTACTCATATAAGAGACGACGACGCAAATCTTCGTCGTTTGGAGCAACAACGTCTGCTGTATCCCCGTGTTCGGCCACACAATACAACAATCCCTTGTGTTTTTTAAAACGGTCAACACGCGATCTTGTTCGAGACTGCTGACCTTGCAGTGCTATGTCGGAAGGGTTATTGAAAACCCTCATTAAGTTCTGATATGCTTATCCGATTTGTAACCTTCGACGACTTCTTCGCACATTATAGTCGATGCTTGCATTCTGATCGTCTAAACGTTTTCGCATTGTCGACATGACTCGTGCATGTTTTCGCTCCTGGACTTTGGATCAGAATCCGGACGTCCTGACAACGCATCGGCTAACATGTCGGTGTTGCCTGGTTTGTGGTGTACAACGAACTTGTAATCCACGAAAAAAGGAGAATCGTTGAGCCATACTTTGCGATAAATGAGACATGTTTACAGCCGTACACAGTGCGGCATGCTCTGGGTAGATCGCAAAGCGCTCCTCACCAGGCAAGTATACATGGAACTTAAGCAGAGCATACTCTATTGCTAGAAGATCTTTGTCATGAACTGGATCGCTCCGTCTCGCGACCCGTAGATGTTGCGTCTGATACGAAAGAACTCGCTCTTGAACCTCAACAACGTGTTGCATCAACACACAACCGATTGCATATTTACTTCCATCGCAAACCATATAAAAAGGCTTATCGTGGTTTGCGACTGCTAGAACAGGAGCTTCTCCGAAGCCCTTCTTCACTTTGGCAAATACCGCCAGGTGATCTTTGATTATTTCCACTCAAAGTTTTTCATTTAAAAATCGTTAGGGGTCGCACCAACGCTGCATAGTTGCGCGTGTATTTGTGCACATAGTTGGCCAAGCTCAACCATTGTCTCAGCTGTTTCAACTTGTTTGGCATTAGTTTAACCTTCTATGTTGGCACATTGTTCAAGCTTTCAATAAAATAAACATGCAACCATACCTGCTTAGCCTCCGGCTTCACGTAATGATATGATTCTTGATGGAATGATTGGCATTACTATTTTCAGTGCGATCGATCTGAAAGATGACGAATGCGAGAAAATGATACACCACTAATGGCAGTCAGTACCCACGGTGGAATGCGGTAAAAGGTTATTGATGACACTAGGATTGGAGAACGCTCCCGCAACTTTCATCAGAATGGTCCCGAATCTTCTTCGTAGTTTGCACCGAGTTACTTTGACAATAGTCATAACACGACTGAGAAGTCTAATCTCGATGTTCAACTTGATCATCTATGTCAGGCTTTGATGTTATGCAAGAGATGAAACTCTACGCTTACCTAAAAGTGCATATACTTTGCACCAGAGATCCCCGTTCTCGGCTGCTTTGTGAAAAAGAATGGCGTTCGTCTAGATCCGGAGAATGTAATATTATCAAAGATTGGCCCCATGCAAAGACTTACTTTCGTGCACATTACCATCCTACTATCACTGCGCAATGAGCTCGTCAATTACAATGACGTGCTCTTTTGGCAACGGCCAATGCCGTGAGATATAATACTTTGTACCAGGAAGTGTGTTAATCTCATGACAAATGCCTTTGTCAGACGGCAATTCGTCCGGCACCTTGTCTAGGAATATATCAGCATATTCCTTGACAAGTCCATTTACGGATTTTGAGCTTTTAGCTTCCGACGACTGCTCATCAAACCTTTACTTCTGTGTCTTCTAATCAAATACTTCCGCAGTATTGATGTCACCATCGATACTTTCTTCGACAATCGCACATATTCGCGGAGTTTCGCCTTTTGTCAGGCTACGCGTCACCATCTTCTTGCGCGCCACTGGCACGAATGATAATTCTTTCACTGACCTTGGAGAATTTTTAAACTTCACTGGACGGATAATATCGGCGTCACCTTTATCATTGTAGGTCACAACATTTATAAATCGCTTGAAGTGTCATGTTTTTGAACACTTTCTTCATCAGTACAAGCTATACCTTGATCAGAGACACGCAAAAAACTTGACGGAAACACGTCTTGGTGGCTTTGTATGTCTTCTCCCTGGATGGGTCTTTGCCTTTTAACCCATTATTTTTAAACTACTATCGACCATGACTTCCATGTCGATGACAAAAGAGACATTCTTTTTCTGGCCCCTGACTTCTCCATCACCAGTTGCTGTATTTACTTTCGTCTTCTTGGGTTTTTCTTGTGAACGTGGAGAGCCGTCGTACACCATAATATCACGTGAGACATCTGTGACATTTTGCAGATGCATTTGCCGATGCTGTTTCGTTAGTCGTCATACAGCTCTGTTTAGCGCTGCACGACTTGTTGAAGAAAATCTTACTATTCACCCAGTCAATGCTAGACTGATTAGGCTTCATTGCCAAGCAAATGACTTGCTTTGGCATCTTCATTCTAAATCCATTCGCTAAACGAATGGTCATCTCTTCTTTCGCATTGAATGGGCTAACATCATCTTCAGTCAAAACTTACGCCCGAACAAAATTGTTTGACGCACCAGTATCAATCGACACTCGAAGTGGTTTCTCAAAACCATCTACAAAGACTTCTTGGTCGCACTTTTCCGTATACTTCTAGCACTAATAGCGGAAACGGCATGTACATCATGCACGTTAGGGTCAATGTTCTGTGTACTCACAACATTCTTAGACTCTACTCGTGCACGTTTTTAACCTTTAGAGCGTTTGAATCGACGACAATCATAGCGTCCGCGGTTTATCGAACGAGCACCCTATGTCTGTTGCTGAGTTAGCTTGATGAAGAAGATGAAGCTAACAAAAGCATTCCTATTGAATGATTTTGAGCTGAAGATTAATAGATAGGATACAAAATGCCTGCTTCATAGGACACTTTATACTCTTTCTTACCTACATAACATTGGCGAACACGAGGAAGCCGATAAAGGCTCCACGGACCGTTGCCTCGATCGTAAGCAGGCCTTTTTCTTCTTCAAATATACTCACCGTCTTCTGGTTGGCTTCAGCAATCCATGTCATCGATGACCGCTGCCTAAAAGCTAATCTATAAATCGCTCACAAGATTAGAGTGGAAAACCAGCAGATCGCTTTCGGCAAGATTC